GCAATCTCATATATATTCATAAACGGTACATTAATTATGCATTCGTAAATGTAGTTAAATAAGCGAATTTTTAATGACGTAAGTAGTTGTATGTGATTTGATAAGTTGAAAAAAAGACGAAAATTCCAAAGTAAATGTTTTTTTTTAGAAAGGGTATCTATGAGACTCGATAGGTAATATACTAAGTTGCATTTCATTATATTAGTAGCGAATGCTATTGGCAGTGATAATGATGATGGATAATTGAAGCTAATCGGATGAAACAATGACAGCTTAAGCACGCTCATCGATCTATCAGTGATAAGGGAGAATATTAATAATATAGGAATATCCAATACAATGGTTCTATTTAAAAATTCCATCAATTTGGATTAATAGTCGGCATTTGTAACGAATCGCTCAAGGCTTCGCGCAAAACCGCTGGTAAAAGACATGTACGAGAGAGCAAAACGAGGATTCGAAGAAGAGATGACAGCCAATGATGGATCGACAACTCCTGGCAATTAAAGCGCTAAGACGATCTGCAAAAGAGAGATGAAACAGCTTATCATTATCTGCTCGAGCACCCACGAGATTCAACTCACGGATATCGATGCAAGTGTAAAACCCGCCAAGATGCGATAAGGTTGGCCTCGAGCCTCAAACGAGCGGTTCCCCATGCCAGTAATCCCTAGAACAGCGATTCTCTGACACTTATGAAATCGCGTATCCTTGACCATCGCGCTCGGAGTCTATTCGTCGTCAAGGCCTCAGCGGAAGGTGCTACCTGCCTGGAAAAGGCCGAGACTGCCTCGCCGAGATGCTCGGAGAGCAGCGCCGAGAGCGAAGCCGTACCGTCCTTGCGCGACATTTGTTGCTACTACCGGGGCACGAGCGAGAGAGCCAACACCTAAGGAAAACAACAACACGAGAGCAAAAACGGCACGCCGTTACGCGCTTAGCGCGATTAAGTTTATCTCTGGTCGCTCTCCACGTGCTCGGCCAAGCGCCGTTTCGGTTCACATTATTCCCGCTTATTACGGGCAAAGTGTAAGGGCTGGCCCGGCCGTAGTTTTGCTCTTTTTTGAAAAATTTCTTCTCCCACGAGCTGGCATAATTTTTTCCTACCGCAATATCGCCCTAAAAAGAGGATCTTCCATGCACATTCTCCTCCTCCTCCTCCTCCTCCTCCTCCTCCTCCCCTGTCCCTTCTGCGACGCCCCATCACCCCATTGCGACGACTGATCGTCAGCCCCCGTATTACCCCCGTCGTGGGAGCGTCGCAAATCCCACCCTCGTCGACAAAACTCAGCCCGCCCATCACCACCCTGATTTTTCCCAGTAACGGATGCTCAATGCTCCAACTACTACCCTATTTGTCATTTACCATTGAATGTACTTTTCTACGCCCGCTTGTCCATCCCAGCATTTTAGTCGAATATATTGGAAAAATGCTCGAGCGCGACAGGTCAGATCAAGTTAGAAAAAGTTCCAGTGCGGTGGTAGTCAAGGTCCGATGAAGAAATGTTGCGTATGCGCGCGCGCACAAAGTAAGCTCCGCCTTGCGCGGCTGGGATAAGTGGCAAGAGCGCAATTCTCGCACTTTCCGCTTTTCACGAGAAAGAGCGAAGGTCGGGGCCAAAAAGCGGAGTCGCACCGCTGAACCTCTTAACTACCGAAGAGCATTCCCCACGCTCGAGTGAAATCAACATTTGGCGATCCAATTTCCTCGCACTCTATAATCCTTTATGCTCCGAGTTCTGTACTCTATCTAGCCTGCTCTTTCCGTACCCCCTCACCGCTCTACATTCGCGTTTTAAAAAATTATTTCGCCGATCAATATTGAAGATTGACTCGGATCGAATGGAGCTAAAAATTGATATTGTAACGTCAAAGAGGCCAATACATGTTCGCCGAACGAAAATATACCTCTCTCTCTCTCTCTCTCTCTCTCTCTCTCTTTCTCTCTTTCTCTCTCTCTCTCTCTCTCCCTCTCTCGATCTATCTATCATGTATCATGAAAGGTAAATAAATCGAAGATAAAATGAATTAAAAATGTTTAAATGGATTATTTCGCAGATCGACGACGGCTATTTCTCGGACAAGAACATTCTTTAACGATTTGATGATAATTAAAAATCAGAAATTGTAGACGACGATGCCATGTTATTATACCAGCACATTTGCATTGATAAACACGAGCGAGAAACGTCAACGAAAATAATTTGCACCGATATAATGGTGCTATTTAAGTAACATAAAGAGTGCACAGCTGGTAGAAAGCAATTACAGTCTCGTCAAAACAAAGTGAAATGCGATCTCCGTGAAGATCGTAAAAAAATGTACGGAAGAAAACGCGTTTACTCGGTTAGTTTTCTAACGAGGTGCGCATGATGTTGGAGCAGCGACTCGAATGCTCGGCTTTTAAATCTTTTCCCCTTGTTGATCGTAATATGACAATAAGACAAAATTGTTACATCAGCTTCGTCAAAGAATTACTTTGAGATTTCATCCCGCACGGCTCAGCTCGCTAAATTGGCTCGAAAATCCATTGACCGGAAGTATTCTGCTTTTCGAGAAAAAGGCTGATTATTCTTAATCGATTGTTTATTTTTATAACGGGGACACGTAGCTGGGGCGTGAAATCTGGTTTTTAAGATTTGCATCTTTGATCGCGAGCGCGTAGTATAAATATCACCTTATCCTTCGGTAAGCGTGTAATCGGCACTTGGAATGCACGAACACACGAATATTCACGCGAAAATATCTTAATTTTATTTTCAGCTACGTTTCCTCCCGTTCTTTATTCCAAGAATGACGATGACTCTTCACAATCGTTACGTGTCTCGCAATGCATTGCAATTGAATGGGATGCTCAAATTTATCTTTAAATTTCATGAATGGAAAACCATAATTGAGAAGGAGGGTGCAGCGGGTAAACAAATGAAAACGTTAAGAATACAAAGTCGGAAAACATAATATCGCGACAAATGTAAAATATAATGAACATCGAGTATCATGAAAATGTCAGGTCATCGTCCATTACGGTAAGAGTAAAAATAGTCCTTATTTACGGACAGCTGATAAGGCCAATTAATGTGCTATCTAATGATATAAACACAGAATGTAGCGGATTCCAAAAAGCAGTAGCGTATTTCGCATTTGGCAAAATTTATGGCGCTCCGGGATACGATGGTACACGACATGAAAAACGAAAAAGCCGAGTATAATAGCGAATAGGATGTGTCCCATCCTTGAGCCCGCGCTCGCATCATCTTAATTGAGAAACGACGTCATAATGAGAGATAAGCGCGGACTCCCGGGGGGATGTGGAACGAACGCGGTTTCGTGATAAGCCCGAGATAAGGTGAAACGAGAGCTGATAACGATACTCCAAGCTGCTTTACGATCTTGAACGATAATTGAAAAGAACGCGATCGACCCGGTCGCAGCCCCTCTCTCTCCCCGCCCCACACGACTTAATGGAAAGAGGATTTTTGAAGAGTTGCACACACACACACTCTCTCTCTCTCTCTCTCTCTCTCTATATATATATATATATATATATATATATATATATATATATCGTTTGTCTTGTCGTTCGAATTACGAAACGGTTGAAATGCTGGTAAGTGCTTCGTCAATCGGTCGATTTTCAAAATGAGGAACAGCTAGTAAAGGTCTGCGAATATTCGAGGAGGTTTGACAAATAATATTATTTACACTGAATAATGTTAATAATGACGTAGGTCTTTACACGGAGCGTTGTATAAAAGAAAACAAAAAGTAAAGGAAAAAGACGGTAATCAAATGAATGAAATAATAGAGCTGAGCGCCTTAGTGCATCGTATTATCTTAAAATTCAAGCTTTTATATACTTGCATCGTCGGATTACAGAGATTGATCTTCATTTAGACGTCTAGACACTATGGATGTGTGTGTGTGTGTGTGTGTGTGTGTGTGTGTGTGTGTGTGTATTACACCATAATCGGGATGACGAGGTATTGCGATGGAGCTTGGGCGAAAAAAACAGAATTGAGTAGCAAGAGGGCACGAATTTGTGAAAGGCCGTCGTTATACTTCAAGCGTCTATGGAGGAAAGGCGCGTCGCGAACAAACGTCACGGGAGTGTAGCCAAAATAACTGCGGTTAAAAGAACTGACCCTAATAGCGCCTTTTTTTGTCGTTTTTCCCGACGGGGAGGCGCAAGGGCTTGGGGCAAAGTACCAGTGGGGCCAACGTCGCTGCGTGTCGACGACGAGCGGGAATAACGGGGCAGCGGCGCATCGACGTCGCGACGGTCGACGCTGGCTCCTGCTAGTGGTGGTGAGAGGTGATCCGTGTGCGTGCATCTGCGTACGCGCGCGTGCGTGTGCGTGCTAAGAGGTGTGATGGAGGGGGAGTGAGGGAGAGGAGGGGACGCGCCGGCGACCGCTTTAAAAAGTGGAGTTTTCCGATGGCGGGGGAGCAGTGAGTCGCGCGACACTATCCGGGAACGGACGACTAGCCGCGTGCTCCCAATTTCCACGAGGCTCGTCTTCTTTGAACAGGTGAGGCGTGCAGTTTTTGCCTCCTGCGAGCTCACTTTACAAGCCCGAGTCGGTCGTTGTCCTGGCTCGTCGCTCCTATCGACATTCACGAGTCTTGATCACGAAGCACCCAGTGGATGGACTATCCTCATGCAACGAATTCACTTCACGGCGACCACTTTACCTATCCGTTACCTATATCTGACCCCCCCCCCCCCCCCCAC